CATCCTGGGAGTGCTCTCGCGCGCTACTCGCTTAACTTCGGAGTTCCTACGGAACCCGAAGCCAGTGAGCTCCCAAAAGGCCTCGTGCTAGATAGAGATGGGAATATACATTTAAGGATCACCCCTGGGCGATGTGGGATGTCACATTAACTAGTTTAGTTGTTATCGGGTTGGTTTACCCACAAGTAACTTGTTTCAACTCGATAAGAAAAAAACTTAGGTTGATTATTTTAAACTACTAAAAAACCTTACAACCATAGCCATAGTATTTAATCTCACATAAATCCAAAGCACATGAAAATATTAAAGTAATTTAAAATTTCCAAAAGCACATTAAAAAATTTATAATAAGTAATTTACAAGTGTGAAAAAAATATGCAAACACTCGTGATCGCATCCTCTATACTTTTATGATGGGTATATCATCATTTGGATTTTTAAAACTCTACAAACCTTTATAACATTGTTTTTAGGAGGAGTTGAAAATAAATCAAATTCATAATAATTAATGTAAAAGTGTGAAAATCGTGAAAAGAATATATAAACGCTTGTGATTGCATCCTCTATGCTTAGACGATGGCTATATCGCATTTTAGATTTTTAACCCTCCAAACTCTCACGAATAATATTTATTGTTTTAGTGCAAAATTAATAATAATTAATGTAGAAGTGTGAAAAATGTAAAAAAAAATACACGATCACTCGTAATAACAAGGTTTACAACTTCCATGAAGAGATCAACTTTGAAATTTGACACCATAATCCATAAACTATAGATTTATATTTAACCGTTAATTGTTATTTACGCTCTATTCTTTTCACCGGATTTTTTTTTTTTCAAATTTTCTTTTTTGAAAACATGATTTTTTTAGTGGATGCAGAAAAATAAACAGTTCAGATTGTTGAGATCACATTCCGATGTTTACAGTTAACGAAAGTATGAGTCGATGTTATATAGTTTCAAAGACTTTATAAACTCCGAGCAATATTTTCACTAATCGTGAAAATCTGAACGTGATATCAATGATCTAAACCGTTCAACTTTCTGCATCCGCTAAAAGATCATGTTTTCAAAAATGAAAATCTACAAAAACAATATTCGGTGAGAAGAATGAAGAGTAGACATAAACGTCAATCAACGGTTAAATTTAAATCTATGGTTTATGAGATTATGGTGGCAAATTTCAAAGTTGACATCTTCACAAAAGTTGTAGAGCTTGTCGTTACGAGCGTTTATATATATTCTTTATATTTTTCACACTTCTATATTAATTAAAAAAATATTAAAAAACCTTACTACAACAATAGCCTAGGATTTAATCTCATGTAAGTGAGATTAACGTGAGATTAAATCCTTATCGTTGGATTCTTTGATCTCACTTACGTTTTTAGTTTTACGTTTTTTTTTTATTATTGATTGATTTAAAATACCTTTTTTTAATAGATAACGAGTCGGGTCATGTAACCATTAATATTAAAGGGTTGAGTTTGGGTCAGGTCACATTACCTATTCATATTAACGGATGTTACATGACGCGACCCATTAAGATATCAGGTATGTCACGAAAACAAGACGAACAAGGAAAACACGACACGAATAGCAGGTCTACTATTTTGTATGAGTATAATTTGATAAATATCCAAAAAAATTAGCTAGTATGCAATTAAATTATCAAATATCAAATGGAATACTCTTCTTTATTATAAACAATAGAATTTTTTAATATGACCGAACACGGATAGTATACCACATGTCATATAATTGGAAGAACACTTAAAAAAAAAAAAAACTTATTTTTAATTGTATAATGACATATAACATACCGTCTTTTGTTCTGGTCACATTGAAAAATCTCCCGTTATAAACAAAACTAAATTTTGTCCGAAGTCTTAATCATTGAGAACCTAATCATCCATGTTAAATATTCGGGTAGACCCTACCTGATTCACCTAGTTTCTAATGGGGCACTGTGAAATGAAGAATGAGAATCCTCTTCGGATCATTTTTGTGAAAATTCTTGGATTCTCAAATCATGTTCGTTCATCGAACATCCTGCGGTCAATTTTCGTCAGATACTGTTCATGTTTAATTTTAAATAAAAATGTTTAAAATGATTTCTGACTATACGATGTATAATGAACAGACATGATTTGAGGATCCTCTACAAACTCCAAGGTCAATGATACGTAGCTAGGTTTGCATGGTTTATACTTTTCATATAAAAGGGTGTAGGGTGTAAACACCAAACAAGTTAACAGTCCTGATTCAAGATTAATCTACACTCTCCCAAACCTTTCCATGTTGTGGGGGTAATCTTGGATGAGGCTGCGACTCTTATGCAGCATCACACTTAGACGCGACACGATCTGGTGTGTCGAACTGCAAGGAATCTCATTATCTCGCGAGAGTGTTTTGCTGTACTAGATAGTAGATAATATCACCCGGCTAGAGCTCAAGACTCTCTTCAAATGTAGGACTTATTGTTCACACTCTACGGCCTCGTTTGACAGTTCGGACTGTACTGATTATTTCTGTCGGATAGGATAAATATCCACCGGATAGTACTGACTAAATTAGTTAGGTGTTTGGTGCAGTATCGGACTAGTGACCGTATTATTTATACTGTGTTTGATATTATACTAGATAGGAGGAATCAAACTTAAAATTTTTTTTTAAAAAAAAAAGTGAAATCATTTTTTTGTTCCCAGATCTCTCCGCACCCCCCAAACACCCTCCCTCTCTCTCCCTTCTTCTTCCCCGACTGCAGAAGAATCTCAAATAATTGTTCCCCAGCTCTCTCCGCCACACCCCCCAAACTCCCTCCCTTTCTCTCCCATATTCTTCTTCCCCGACTAAATAATCCGGGCGTTTTGGTTGGTTTTATTAAGCAGGTGTATACCTTGTTATCCTATCCGACCGGTTAAATTAATCCGGCGCTTATTTAGTACGAGTAAACGCCAAACACCCGAGTCCGTATAACTAATCCTATCCGATCCTTTATCCGATCTGCCAAACAGGGCCTACAAGTGTTATTCTGCGCGTTTTAAATACAATTTTGTTCTTGTGGTTTTATAAAGTTAGAGTGGAAATTAACTTCTTAAGAGTATTAATATAATACTGGTTAAAACTTACTGTGTGTGACATGAATTATCTAAATTATAACACGTGTACAATTATTACTAATATATAAAATATTTTTAGGTCGGTATTTGGATAAGGATTTTAGATATAAAAGATTGTATGCATTATAATAAATGAATTATTGTAATTGTGTTATGTCACCATGTAATCGCGTAACTTGATTATCTTTTTCCTTTATAATAAAACAAAAATCAAACTCTTAATCTAATCTTAGCTTATTTCTTGTTCCTACTTACTTTAGCTAATCTCAAAGGCCACCGTTAAGTATATTCTTGTATTCGGTATGCGACTTCGAACATAAATCGATCATGTGGCGCCATGTTTACACGGTTGACCCATCAAGTTCTTATATGAGCATATACTAGTGTTTGACTCTGACTTCATTATACTTATCCACATACAAAGTATGTAGACATGTATGGGAGCCTACTTCCGAAAAATAGACTCATAATTTTCATTGATACTCACAAATACTCTTCAAAAACGTCCTTATATTGCCACATGGAAATGACGAGGCCCTACGTTGATTTTTTTTTATTTTAATCTTTCAAAAATAAGACAACTAATGGCAAGTCACGATTATCTACTCTTTCGGAGCCTGAAGAGGCTATGGGAAATTTCATTATGCCCGTAACCTCAACGAAACAGACTCACCAGCTCGGAACATTGAATCGGAGACCTCCCACATTTTTTTGTTTATTAAAGAGTTGCAGTCCGCACCCTTACCATTGGGTTACTTGTTGTGGTTATAAGGCCCTATGTTAATAATTCATACATTTTATTTTATATTTTTACAATGTGAAATATACTAAATCGGGAAATGGTCAATCCCACATACATTATTGTTAAAAAAAAAGTTTTGTGCGTACCCAAAATACAAAGGAGTACATCCCGTGTAATATATTTCCAATATACTGAAAATCTGTCACTAGGTGGGCACCATTGGTTCCTTATCTTACGGCACAACATATACAATATGCAAACCACATCTTATATTACTCCTAGTCCTATGAAGGCTTAAAATATATGTTTGAATTTCTAATGAGATGACAAATGTATGTAGATAATCAATTTAAACAAAATTCCTAGCAAGGAAATCTAGATAGAAATAGCAATAGAACCCGCGCGATGTTGCGGGTTTGAAAACTTTATTAAACATGTGCAAATATATTAAAATCTAATTATATCCATATCAAAGAAATATCTATTTACATCCTCATATTCAATAAGGTAAAAAGATATATGTAGGATATATCACATATTAAAATCTGTCCACTTCCATACCATAGTCTATTTGCATCCTTATGTGTAATAATGAACAAAAGATAGGAATTTGAAGAATACATTACATAGAAAAAGATGTGGATTAAGTTGTTCATACAAATACAATCACACAAAAATATATTCAATTTTCATATGAGAAGGACAACCAATTTAGAGTTTCGAAAGATAAATAAAATTTCAATTCTCACCAAGAAAAAAGAGCCGAAGGAATACAATGGGTTTTGAGGAGAGACAAAGTCTTTACCAACTAACAAATGAAGTAAATCATATTGTTCAATATTTGAGCTTCCAATTTGGTACACTTACATCTTCAATCTCTAACAATACAAAAAAAGGAAAAATCATTTAGTATACTTCTCACAACATGTTAACCAAATTGCTTCACCGTTCACCTATATCCTCGGTGCTATAAACTCAAATAAAAAACCAGTAAATAAAAGTGGTTAAGCAAAGTAGGGGTTCAAATACAAATCCATGAGCTGCAATATAACTTCATGTTACAACCAAAGTAGGGGTTCAATCATGGATTTGTATTCCTGTTTACAGTTATATTTGCACACATACACCAATCAGCACTGCACTTTTAAATTCTTCGATCGTCACTTCAGAACTTCTTTTATTTTTCATGATATACATGCTTCTTGGTTACAATGTGAAAAATTAAAAGCTGCTAATGTAAATTGCTAAAATAATTAAGTACTATTGCAGCTCGCAAATCCATTTAATAGGATACATTAAAAAAAAAATTGCAAGCTAGCTATTATCGTTGATCAGCAACTTTTTACATACATTATTTTGGTGGCAGCAAAGGCCGATCAGCAACCTTTTACAAACTTTTTTCGTTGCATAACATTCACAATAGTAATATCACATGACGGTTTTATGATCACAAAAATTTCTGCTAGGCCAGCAAACTGTCACAACCTTTGAAAATAACAATTGACAAAAACTTGTTTAGATTCAAGATAAAACTTCAATGACACTCACATGATAAATCTGCCATTACTCTAGTAGCATTCTTGCCTAAAAAAACAAATGAAAAACATTGAGTTGCTTTACTTCCAAATTAAGTTTACCTACCAAGGGAGAGGTTAAACCAACTATCATCTGGATCCTGAGTCTTTCATCTAGATGCCGAACACATGCCAAAGCTCTCAGTCCCAAAGCTGAAGGCATACCACTGATTGACTCAAGACCTATAAATACCTTGGGCAACATTTTTGACCACTTAGAATGTTGATTTCTCTAATCTGCCTTCAGATGAGAAATGAACATTTTGGGAGATGAGCATATCAATAATGTAAGAGACTGCATAGAAGGGTTTGATTTCACAGTGGAAAAAAGCAAAACTCCATATACGGATATAAGCTACTCCCAAAATAAACTTTTGCGGAAACTATACATAAACTTTCTCAAAGATACAATGTCCGGCTTCAATACTACTCAGAAGACATAATTCATTGAAAATTATTCTGGAAGGTAACAAAATTTACCTTAACACTGCCGCAAGCAAATCAGCATCATGGAGAATTTTTGTTCAAAAACTGAAAGGAAAATCAAAAGTTTCAAATTCAAACAGGGAGCATTATTTAAAACCCGAAACTGATTCATCACAAAAGGAATTCAGTGCAACCATTATCAAACCTGCAGCTCTTTCTGATCAACTACAGCTCCTTTCTCATTTTTCATTGAGTTTCGAACACCTTGTACACCATTGATTTGGATTGCCTCATTTTCTTTGGTATTTCTGCTAAACTTACTGGGAACGCCGTCTCTCTGCATTTCCCTAATCAAACACAATCACAAATTAGTCAATTATAATTAAAAACGTATAAATGGCGCCGCATAGCAGATTTATAGAGGGTTTATAAAAATAACAAAGGCACTTGATTTAATAGTTTATGACAAAATAAATCATACATCGTTTTGAATAGTTCCAATTCAGGTATATTTGGGTTGATGAAAAACATAGTTGAGACAGTTGTAATATTAAAAATGGAGTATGAAGAATGAAAAAAAATTAAAAAAAAGTTGAAACCTTGGAATTGTTTAACCTCGAGATTTGTGAAAGTGGCAAGTATTGCCGTTGCCAACGGTTTTAAATTTTTGAAGCAAAAAGCTTTTGGAGTGACACCTCGCAATGTGATTTCTAACCTTCTTTTTCCTGGATCAACATATATGTTAATAAGAGGTGTAACAATTAGAGCATGTATGGACGCTTTATTAATTTTTTTTACCTGATATTCTCAATATAAATTTCATATTTGTCCTCAAGAACAGTTGACACCAAATGGAGCAGAATATCATTGTGGCGGAAGAAATCCAATATTTTAAACTGCAAGTAAAAAAACATTAGGCTCATTCATTGTAGTCCAATGCAAAACTCTATCCTCAAAGTTTTTTGGCCGCGCATCTACAGATGCAGTGAAGTCTTTTCTGCATCCACAAAAGTGTTCCATCATGATCATCTCAAAGCCCATTTTCTGCATGTCCCATTTAAAACTCACCCATAAATGTTAGAAACTAACATAGTTTTTCTACTAACCGATCCTCCACACTCATCACCAATTGCCTGCGAGAGATCACTGTAGTGTTAAATAACACGTGATTCGACTCTTGGTTGAAACAAACAACTTAATTAATTATGAACATAAAGAATTGTAGATCACTATAGCTACTAAATTATTAATAATAAGTGACACAGCTACTAAAATTATTAATGCAGGAAACTGTAGAAACATAATTTAGATAGACTGTTACCATGGCTGATCAGTTCACTAATAAGATTGCTGTAATATTTTACATCCTTGGATTGACAGGTCCTGTTCCATCTGAGAGAAACAAACCGATTATTGTTTAAGTGTGAAAGCTACTTGTTTTGTTCAATCTGAGTTATAATTTGGTGATCATGCATACTTGGGATAAGTCTTGACCATGAGATGGAAAATCTATATGCCTTCAAACCAGTATCCACCATTCGTTGAACATCTTCCTGCAATGGCATATATAATATATATGATGCGTGCGTATCAAACAGCATCAGTATGTTTCTAATTAGTATGATATGGATTTCTACAGTACAAAAAAAAAAAAAAAGGCTTAGTCCCGAATCGTTTCAACAAATAAATGAAAGGATTTCCTCTATTTTCTAATAAAGAATTAGAGCAAACAACGAGGGAATTAGTCTCAGCATGTTTACTCTTGTTTAATTTAATAAATTCCCCTAAAATCCCCAAGAACCTCAATTTATAAACCCCGAACAAAGGCAAAAAGGAGAGATAAAACCCAAATAAAGGGAAATTTGAGGCATTCAACAAACCGTAATCACACGGAGGACGCTTTCCGATGATTAAATTCTTCGACGACGGCGGAGGTTGTCCACCGTCGCTGTACCTCCAGTACGCGCCCGCCATGTTTGAAGCTTGTTGATCTGACTACTTGGTTTGGAGGCTCCACGGAGAGAGAGATGGGGTGCTGAAAGAAAGGAAGAGCAGAGGAAGATGAAAGATTATGGATTTTCCAGTAGAGAATGAGAGAGGAAGAGTGAGAGATGAGAGGAGATGAGAGGAGAGGAGAGCAGAGAGGGGATCCCCATCTGAGATCAGTGAATGGAACTGGAAAAAGCGTAGCTTCTCGTCGAGGATCCCACGCGTCACAAAACTGGAACTCATTTGACAGCAAAGCAGTAGGGGCAAAGTTGAAATAACAAAAAAGAAGCAGGGGTCAAATGGAAGAACACTGTGTTTATGAACAGTGTTTCAGTTCATTTTCTCTTTTAGGACATACATAATTTGGCATTCAAGTTATACATGCGTAAACAATGGCCACAACATATTACATATATATCGTATGTTTGGGCCTAAAATCATGAGTTATGGCCTAGAAAGAAGGTTGTACATTTCGGCCCAAATTGTGAAGTGCTCAGCCCAGTAAAGAGATGTTGGTGGTTTGGCCGAGTTCTAAGCGAAATAGGATTGCTAAAAGTAGCTCCACCGTATTCAATAGCTCGGTGGACCGGCTGTTGCTCCAACCCAATTGCCCCAGCTAGCAGCTCCAGCCTATGTAGGCGATGAGGCTTGAGGGAGGCTCGAGGGAGGCTCGAGCAAGAGGCCAGGCGGGAATTGACAACCCAAGAGCCTGAGGGCTATGTGACATGCGCCTGATGTGCGGCATCGGTGCATGTGCCGACCTTGACATCTCGTCGTCCTCCTTCAACATGTTGTTGTTGAAACTGAGGCTTCCGGCAGAGTTCTGCACCACTAGCTATTGTTGTTGCTGTTGAGCCACTGACTGAGACTGTTGTGTCTGCATCATCTTCTCGTCAACCTCCTCTACTTCCTCTTCACAAAAACAAAAACCATGAAATTCTCTATAGTTTCTTATATCTTTCTCTTTTGCTTTTGCTTTTGGAATGATGGAGTTTTGAAATTTGTGGTGGAAGTGCTCTATTTTTTTTTTTTTTTTTGCAGAGGTTATGAATGGCTGAGGCTGGAAGCTGAGAGACTGGCGTTAAAGGATCTTAAAGCGTCAAGATGGTTGGGTTCCTTAAGTTCCAAGGATTCCAAAAATATTATTTTTGAGCTTGATTTGTTGAAGGTTTGAAGAGAAAGGAGGAAGAGAGCTCACGAGAGTGAGTTGGAAAAGAGGGAGAGAAAGAAAGAAAAAGGAAGAGAGAGATAGAAAGAAAAGAGAAAGAGAGAGAGAGAGAGAGAGAGAGGAAGAACCGGTCAAATGAAGGAAAAAAGGAAAGGGTGATGGGGATGTCTGATGGATTGGGTAAGGAAAAAATACTAATATTTTATTGTCTATTGCCATGGCTATTCAGTTTTAGGGGTTGAGATGCAAAAGGCAGTTACTATTCATTAAAGGCAGTTATTGTTCACTGGGTGGATTCAATAGTGAGTTGCCCTGGGGGACCTTTACAACGCTGGAGTTGCTCTTAGAGTTCACAATTTGTTTCTCACGTGGCTGAGTCCTAATTGAAGTAAGATTGTTCGAGGATCAGGTTCGGATTTTTACAAGATTGAAAGAATTAGAATTAGTTTCTGGATAAAGTATGAATTGATCACACAATAAGACTAGATTCATAGTCTAAGTTCAAGTTGAAGAAGGCGAGATCAGTGGTGATAGGGTTTCATATGAAGTATGATTCGTGAAGATAATATCAAGTGCATATATTCAGATAACTGCTGAAGAATTGAAGTACTATTAGAACTCTACAACTCAGTAGGCTTAAGCTTCAAGTATTCACTCCTATAAATACAATAGATCGTGCAACAAGAAAGTGACCTTCAACTCAATGCATAAGTCAACACTTTACGCAAAACACTTAAACACCCTCTTGTGAAAACTAATTGCTTCACTAACCATCAGCGCAAATTCTGATTGGATAGATGGGGCTGAAGTTGTAGAGTTAGTTTGGCTTAGGAATCTTGACAAAATGGATAGACAAGGATTCTCCAAAGTCTGTGGCTGATTACTTATCTCAAGTCTCAGCTGGCAGAGAGTCTTTGATTCTTTCTTCGAAAGAGGTTACTTCATTGGCCTTCTCGACAAAGTGAGGTGTTACTTTTAAAGTTCCGCATACAGACAGCTGAACCATTTTGCATAACCTTGTCTTTAGGTTATAGAACCCAAGACTAAGATTGTTCATCCCTCAGCCAAAGCCGCTCGATTTAGAAGTCAACCACATATTTGACCATATTCACCACATTATTAGCACGTCTGCATCAGCATTCAAGCCATTGAAGACATAGTTAGCTCTTAGTTACTTCGGCTTATGCGCCATGTAGCCTGTGTAATTTTTCGGACCAACATTTTACCACGCCTAGTAAGACACAAGTGCTAAAAACTGTGAAGTTCATGACCATGGAAATACGTTATGTGGCTAAGAAGAAAGCATCGATGAGAAAGACAACAACAAATCAAACATTGACATTTGGTGTAGAGACAGCACAAGAACTTCATGTTGCCGTCATGCCAGACAATGTTGATCGCAACTAAGAGGTGGCATAAATCTCCACGGTTAGAAATTAACGGCCATGACTATTACAATGACTACCAAGCCCACAAAAAATAAACCTTCAAATGGGATAGTTGAGGAAGAAGATAATGAAGACGATGAGAGCATGTCCCCATGAAACTTGCTGTCTAAATCTTTATATGACAGAGGTTTTCTAAGTTTCAGCAAATGGGTATCATGAAGAGACAAACCGCCTGCTTGCTGTGTTGTTTATTGAAATTCGACAATCTGGACTAGATGTTGCTGCCCATATTCCAATCAGAGCCCCGAATAAGAATTAATATTGGTTAAGAAAACCCTTACAACCACATGCTTAGTAATTTGAGTGAATTTCAAGTGTAACTAAAGTTAACTCCGAATCTCCATATGGGCCGGAACCAATGGGATTTGAGGAAAGAACATATCAATTCTTGTCGATATGGATGAAATCCAAAGAATGATCGATTCATCCTTAAAGAAGAGATCCCTAAATTCGTTCATAAATAATTGTTCGTTTATATATATATATATATATATATATATATATTAGGATACAGAGACATACGTTTTTTACACTCATTTTTATGGGGTCCACTATGTAATGTATTTCAACGATCCGAACCATTTATCTTTTAGGTCTTCCCTTAAAGATTATGTCTACCAAAAAATCCACTCAAATCCAAAATCATATGACCGTTAAATTAAACTTATTGTTTATTTGTAATCGTATGCATCCATTTTCTTTAGTACAAATGAATGTCTTAATGGTTTTGGATTTATCTAATTTTTTTGCAAGAATGATCTATGAATGATGTACTAAAATGTGGACGGTTCGAATAATTGAAGTACATTACGAAGTGAACCATACAAAATGAGTGTCAAGAGTGTGTGTCCTCAAATCCTAATTCGTGTGTGTGTGTGTATAGATGTACACACACAATAGCGCTCAAGCACTAACCAATTAGTAATCTAATACAATACCAATTACGCAGTGGCGGAGCAAGGATTTCGGGGTTAGGAGGGTCCTCTCACAAATATTTAAAAAAAATTAAGTCGATAGTAGTTACAAAACTGTTAACCAAAACATCATAGTATATATATGAAAAGTAACCAAAATTCAAAATAGCATAGCATTGATAATATTACATATTCCCAATAATTAAAATAATTTTCCTCGACAAGTTTTCGTATTTTGAAACAGTAGCATGAAAGCCTCGTCCTCCATACTATTAAAAACATCCTTTTCAATATAAGCAACCAAACAATCGTTCATCCACAAATCACTCATTCGATTGCGTAAGGTGTTCTTAACAATGTTCATAGCAGAAAAGACTCGCTCTACACTTGTGGTTGCAACCGGTAAGATGAGTGCCAGTGTCAAAAGCAAGTACACAAACGGGTAAGTCTGATCTTTCTTGGTTCTAACCATCTTTTGTGCAAGATCACTAATTCCTTTCAAATCTGCAAACTCACTATTAGAGGTCATGTCCCAAATATAATTCTCAAGCTATTCTTTGAGTAACTCAAGACCGTGCTCTGAAAAATCACTTGGATAAAATTGGGCAAGATGCATCAATTTTTCTTTGTCAAGGGCAGAGAAAGAATTACTTGGACTTAAACATGCCACACAAAGAAGTAGTTCAATATTCTTCTCAGTAAATCGATCATTTAACTCATTGAGTTGTTTATCTATGACATCAGTGAATAAATCAACTCGATAATGGTGCAAGTTTGTGATGGGATGAGCTTTTCGGTTTGGCCGCTCTCCACTCATAAAAATATCACCCATGCTAGGAATTTTAATACGATTCTTGTCACAAAAGGATGAAACTTCATCAAATAAGGATTCCCAACCACTTTCTCGCATCCTTTGCAATCTTCCTTTGCATATATTGACCAAGTTCATTGCATTAACAATATCTTGATCGTTCTTTTGCAATGTCTGTGATAAATCATTTGTGATCCCCAAAACCTTTTTCATCAAGTGTAGACCAAAAATAAAGTTGAAAGATTGAATAAAAGTCAATAGACCCTTTGCTTCAAATTTTTGTTCAGAAGTTGTTCCATCTTTTCTTACAATCTCAAGCACTTCTATCGTTGATGAGAACATGTGAGCCAAGCTAATTAAACAATTATAGTGAGAACTCCATCGCGTATCACTAGCCCGCTTAAGAGTAGTTTCTTAATTCAAACCTTGTCCACTTGAAAGCTCGTTATTTTCTAGTGCTTCCAAAACTACATGAGCATGTTTCTCTCTAAGAATATCACGACGCTTGGAAGATGCCGCCACAACATTCACCACAGAAGAAACCATAGTAAAGAGATCTCCAATTTCTGAATTATTTTGTTTTTTTTGCCACTGCTACTAGAGCTAATTGAAGTTGATGAGCAAAACAATGAACATAAAAGGTAGACTCATTCTCATTTAAAATTAGTGCTTTAAGGCCATTGAACTCACCTTGCATATTACTTGCCCCATCATAGCCTTGCCCACGCAATTTTGATATGCTTAATCCATATCTAGAAAAGAAATCATAAATGGCTAACTTAAGTGAGGAAGCCTTAGTATCTGCAACATGCTCAATACCTACAAAGCGCTCTATCACATGACCCTTATCCACATAGCGCAATACAATGGCCATTTGCTCCTTTGAAGACTTATCTCCTGATTCATCA